CAATGCCTCGGCCCCTTCCACCGCCACCCCCTCCCTCCGCGATACAATAAAATTCAATCTCTGATCGACAGTGCAAAAAAAAATTTCCTACTCAAAAATATTGCAATGCACAGGAAACAAACCAGAATTTCACCGCCCCCCAACCACAAAGCACATCATTTTGTTCCCCTCATCACACAGTGTCATTAAAACACACCGCGGTTTTTCTGCTAGATCCATGCATTTCTGGCATTCCACAGCAGCAGCAGCAGCCAGTTGTCAGCGTTGCATTTTTATGAGCATGACATATGTGGAACTGACGATTGCGACAAAATTCATTCGGTTGAATGTTGCTGGACTTTCAGTGCTTATAATCAGCAACTATCACATACATTCAATTATTACTGGGGGGCACATGATGCAGTGGCAAGTAATCCGCTGCTTTCATGCTAAAAATCGGAGTTTTCACTCCCGCCAATGAGGCAACCAATCCCTCTACGATTAGTTCCGACAGGTTTTGACGATAAATTAGTCCCAGCAATATGTGAGGGGATCAAATCAGCCATCAGCAGCAGCAGATGTCAGTTTTACGCATAGGAGTTCACACATAAACAACGGATATCTTCATGAAAGTACAGCTGCTCACACAGTCTTCTCAGTCTGACGGTTTTGCCGGTAGGTAGTTCCGCCGATATTTGCTACTAGTCGGGATACTTCTTCCCAATACCTCTACCTTTCACTGCGAGTTTTGATTTTTGACTATGATGCTTAATTATCAAGAACTCAAATGATCAGCAATAAGTTCTCGATGTCACCGAAACACAACTCTTACAAAACTTTCTGTATTTACGTAATTACCATGACGATTGTACCCCCTACAGATGATAATTCAAGAAAGAAAGGCTCTCACTGTCCATAACTGTGACTACTCTTAGTAACACCAGTTCAAACAATTTTAATGGTAAAATGAGTTGTAACCCCTTCCCTCGCCCCGTTCCGCTCCCCTCCCTCCCTCCCCCTCCTCATTACATTCAAACTGGACTTCTACAGAAATTACTGGAAGTCACCAGAAAAAGCCTTAAATGTTCAAAGATCAACAACAAAGACTTACTTCATTATCGCATTCGACAAGCACCTGATCATATTCGGAAAGAGCAACTAGAAACATGATTGATGTGACATTTTCAAAGCAATGAATCCATTTTCGCCGCTCCGACCTCTGACCTCCCACATCCACCATTCTGTAATAACACGTTTAAAAAATTTCATACACAAAAATAATCTCATCAAATGAGAAATTCCAAATCTGCCGGCCTACAAACGCATCATTTCCCAATAAGCTAAGCCAGCAAGGAGAATTAATTACCTGAAAATGATTTGCTCCAAATCGAAGGGATATTCGATGATACCGGTAGTGGGAACACGAACACGAAGAATGTCCTGCTCTGTAGGCAAGTAATCGGGTGCTGCTAGCCTCCTCAAATCGGAGAGATAGCTGAAAATATTGGATGCCAGTTTATCATACAGAGACTATGGCCTTAAACAAAAGTATTCACTTACAATCAACAATTATCAATCCAAAAAAGAAAAAAAAAACTAAATCGAAATCACAAAAAGCTATCTAATTTTAGTTTTCCTAGTGCTATTTCTTTTTTTTCTGAATATGTAATGTTGAATTTTTTCAGTTCTGTTTGTTTTTTTGGTCTTATTTCTTTATTTTTTTACTATATGGTTTCTTCTTTTATTCTATTTATATTATAATTGTAAAAAATATGCTTTCATATCGGCTTGACAATTCAGTTACGGCAACTTGCACATGGGGAACTGCCCAGTACTCCGAAATATCAGTCCACTTCTATGCTTCGGTTCTTCTACTGGTAACGTGCTATTTATCCGGGCCAATTTAAGTGCTACTGCCTGGTATGCAAAATCATGAACTTACTTTGCTGATTTGAGGGAAGGACCATTTAAGACAAAATTTGCGAAGGCGAAAGGAAGTAATAAGCATATGCGGTAGGATTTACATGTTGTTAATAGCTAAGAGATGAAGCAAGAAGTAATCGTTCAACATTTTGGGTACGTATGTATGTGGCACATCACCCCACTATCTCAAACACCAACGCTGCTCGTTTTTTTACGCGTTTTGTATTGCAACAGTTGCACAAAACGAACACTGTCGAGACCCTGTGTGTATGTGTGCGTGTGTGTATGCGTGTGTGTATGTATGCGAGTGTTCTGCGCCCATTTTATTCGGGACTTTCAACTCAGTAACCAGAGAAGCTAGGAAGTTGAAATTTTAAGGGGTGGGAGCAGCCATCAGTGTGTGATATCGCAAACTCAAGTTCAGCGACCGCGCACGCCTAGATCTCATGTACCGCCACGTGAAAGTTTTGGCGCCTAAATTAATAACTGCGGCCGCTATCTATTTCTTTTCAGTCGCGCGTGAAATATTTGGCTAAATTTTGTTTTAAAAGCATATAATGCCTATCTATAGAACTGCTGAAAGATATACACAGCTGAAGTGGGAAAATAACGTACTATACAAAAGCCAGGAACTACTATATATACTATACAAAAGCCAGGAAGCTTAAATTTTTAGAGAATGCTCCATGCTCACGCAGAAATTCAATACCTGCGAATGCATGGACTTTACGTATGGACCCGTGAAGATTTTGGCGTCAAAATTAACAACTCGAGAACCACAAAAAATTCTGTATATAACGAACAGTAGCGCAATAAACAGTTTTAGCAGAATGGCTACCAAGGACAGAGTTGCATAAACGATCGATGGACAGAGTTGCACAAAACGCATGTTCACATCAGCTATCCTGATGCGGCCGCTATCTATTTCTTTTTAGTCCCACGCGAAATATTTGGTTGAATTTTGTTTTAAAAGCATTTAATGCCTATCTATAGAACTGCTGAAAGATATACACAGCTGAAGTGTGGGAAAATAACGTACTATTTGGCAGAATCGGTCAACTGGTACTCCCTTCGTCGATCGTAGCACTCCTGGATACCGGAATCGTTCCATAAATCTTCTATATAACTAACGTATGGCTCTTCGAATGATGTCACATTCTCATAATCTATTGCCCGTACTACGTTCGCTTTGTCTTGCAACTGCAACAACAGTGATCTCGGATGAGCGAAATTATGAAAGTATTGAATAATATCAAACGCCATCAAAAAGATTTGACATTCCCAGTAAAATTATCAGGGAGCAGCTCATAATTAAAACAGCAGATATACGCGCACACGCGCACACACACACGCACACACACATACACACATACACACATATACACCACACATAGACACTCAAACAAAATAGAAGCGACTTCAGGGTACCCAAACACTTCTCAACAAAATACCATCCTAAGCAAGCACTACAGGATAGCAAAAACAAACTTCAGCATTTACTGGCGCATTTCAAAATTTCCAGAAATTTTTAGGTAAAAACTTCTAGCAACAGTTTTGCAAAAGCCAGGCAGCAGCAAAATTTTCTAAGATAATGATTCCAGTGCCTAGGAAGCAAAGTATCTAGAATCAGCCAGTACAAAAACACTAAAATATTGCCAAATACCGGAGGTAACTGCAACAAGCCCTTCAATGCTGCACCAGTTGCTTGCATTCGTAAAGCACCCTGCGCATGCCATGA